TTACACTACACTATACACTACATTGCACACTACACTACTATACACTACACTATACACTACATTACACACTATACACTACACTTTACACTACACTATGCACTACATTACATACTACACTATACACTACATTACACACTACACTATACACTACATTGCACACTACACACTACACTATACACTACACTATGCACTACATTACATACTATACTATACACTACATTGCACACTACACTACTATACACTACACTATACATTACATACTACACTATACACTACACTATACACTACACTTTACACTACACTTTACACTACACTTTACACTACACTTTACACTACACTACTATACACTACACTATACACTACATTACACACTATACACTACACTTTACACTACACTATGCACTACATTACATACTACACTATACACTACATTACACACTACACTATACACTACACTATACACTACACTATACACTACATTATACACTACACTTTACACTACACTACTATACACTACACTATACACTACACTATACACTACACTATACACTACACTTTACACTACACTACTATACACTACACTATACACTACACTTTACACTACACTACTAAACACTACACTATACACTACATTATACACTATACACTACACTTTACACTACACTATGCACTACATTACATACTACACTATACACTACATTACACACTACACTATACACTACACTATACATTACACTTTACACTACACTATACATTACATACTACACTATACACCACGATACACTACACTGTACACTACACTATACTGCTATACACTACACTTTACACGACACTATACACTACACTATACACTACACTTTACACTTTACACTACACTATACACTACATTACACACTACACTACTATACACTACACTATACACTACATTACACACTATACACTACACTTTACACTACACTATGCACTACATTACATACTACACTATACACTACATTACACACTACACTATACACTAAACTTTACACTACACTATACACCACACCATACACTACACTACTATACACTGAAATACAATAAACTACACTATACACTATACACTGCACTATAGACTACACTACTATACACTACATTACACACTACACTGCTATACACTAGACTATACACTATACACGCCACTTTACACTACCCTATACAATACACCATACACTACACTACTTTACACTACAATACACTACACTATACACTACATTACACACTACACTATATATTCAAATTTACACTACAATATACACCACACCATACACTACACTACTATACACTACACTTGACACTACACTACTATACAGTACACTAATATACACTACACAATACTTTACACTACAGTCAAATACACACCACTATACACTACACTTTACACTACACAATACACTACACTATACACTACACTATACACTACACTTTACACTACACTATACACTACATTACATACTACACTATACACTACACTTTACACTATACATGCCACTTTACACTACACTATACACTACATCATACACTACACTATACACTAAACTTTACACTACACTATACACCACACCATACACTACACTACTATACACTGCAATACAATACACTACACTATACACTACACTACGATACACTACACTAATATACACTACACAATACACTACTTTACACTACACTCCTATACACTACATTACACACTACAATATACACTACACTATACACGACACTACTATACACTACATTTCACACTACACTACTATACACGACACTAATATACACTACACAATAAACAACTTTACATTACACTCCTACACTGCTATACAATACACTTTACACTACAATATACTCGACACTATACACTACACTATATATTACATTAAACACTACACTATACACTACACTATACGCTACACTATACACGACACCATACACTACACTACTATACACTTCAATACACTACATTACACAATACACTATACACTACACCATACACTACACTACTATACACTACAATACACTACACTATACACTACATTACACACTACACGAAACACTACACTATACACTACACTATCATACACTACACTATACACTACAATACACAACACTATACACTACATTACACACTACACTATACACTACAATATACACTACATTACACACTACACCATACACTACACTACTATACACTGCAATACACTACACTATACACTCTATTACACACTACACTATACACTACACTTTACACGATACTATACACTATACTACTATACAATATAATGCACTACACGATACACTACATTACACTACACTATACACTACACCAGTGGTTCTTAGACTTTTTACTGCAGCCTTGCAAACCTTGGGTTTTCAAACGTTAACAAAAATGTAGAATGTTAATACCTACATCGGGTTTGATTAAACAAAGCAAGTTGTGACTTACTTTGTTTTGCGGTTGCGATGATTTAGCTTCCAAAAAAGAAATCTGCACATGCCTCGCAACCCCCAGACAGGGCATCTCCCACTCCCAGAGGGCAAAGTTCGCAACCGGGTACCCGATACCCGTACCCTATCCGATACCCGGCTACCCGTACCCGGCCAGGTACGGGTACGGGTACCCGTTTGCGACCCTGGTGCGGCCGGGTACGGGTAGGCCGTGAGTCACTGGTGAGTCACCGTTTGTCACTCATTTCCCAACGTCTTGACTCTTCTCACAATTCAAGTTCCTAGAATCAACCCACCCGCGCCTGCAACATGGCTTCATCCCAGAGGTCGCAATCGGGTACCCGTACCGTACCCGTACCCGGCCGGGTATCGGGTAGGGCGGCGACGCCGTTCCGTACACTGCTGCGGGGTCACGTGAGGCCCCTCTCGAGATGCTCACGCGGCTTCAGCGCCCGGCGCGGGACGACTCCAAATCCCTCGCTCGCCCCCCACGTGACCACGCACCGCTCGCCCCCCACGTGACCACGCACCACTCGCCCCCCACGTGACCACGCACCGCTCGCCCTCCACGTGACCACGCACCGCTCGCCCCCCACGTGACCACGCACCACTCGCCCCCCACGTGACCACGCACCGCTCGCCCCCCACGTGACCACGCACCGCTCGCCCCCCACGTGACCACGCACCACTCGCCCCCCACGTGACCACGCACCGCTCGCCCCCCACGTGACCACGCACCGCTCACCCCCACGTGACCACGCACCGCTCGCCCCCCACGTGACCACGCACCGCTCACCCCCCACGTGACCACGCACCGCTCGCCCTCCACGTGACCACGCACCGCTCGCCCCCCACGTGACCACGCACCACTCGCCCCCCACGTGACCACGCACCGCTCGCCCTCCACGTGACCACGCACCGCTCGCCCCCCACGTGACCACGCACCGCTCGCCCTCCACGTGACCACGCACCGCTCGCCCCCCACGTGACCACGCACCGCTCACCCCCACGTGACCACGCACCGCTCACCCCCCACGTGACCGCGCACCGCTCAAGCCCTTAAGCCGCAGCGCTAAGTCGCGACTGGATGGAGCGGCGCTTGTGAGCTAATCACCCCCAAAGAGAAGAAATAATCACCGTGACCACACACGCGCACGCACGCATGCAAAAGACAAAGATCCCCCGTGTAGCCTTGACAGACTGTTTGGGGAAAGTGCTGTTAGCGAGCACCTATGAAGGCCGGCACGGCACACGAGGGGTGGGTGGCCAGCACCACGCCCGGCCGCCTTTGTCTCCCCAGTGGCGATGTTTACACACCGCACCAGGTAACTCATTTGAGGCTGAGTCGACCTAGGGGAGGCCCAGGTACCGGTTCAGATCATCGTCACCGGTGTTGGCCGTGAGTGGGAATCGAACCAGGGTCGCCGGGTTCGTAGCGCAGCGTAGCGCTAACCGCTACACCACCGCTCCCCGCAACACACAGACACACACGCACAGTCACACAGACACACACACACAGACACCCAGACACACACGCACAGACACACACGCACAGTCACACAGACACACACGCACAGACACACAGACACACACGCACAGACACACAGACACACACGCACAGTCACGCAGACACACACGCACAGACACACAGACACACACAGACACAACACACACAGTCACACACGCACAGTCACACAGTCACACAGACACACACGCACAGACGCATAGACACACACACAGACACCGGCGACGATCATCTCAATCATGATCCCCGGGACCTCCCCTAGGTCTACTCAGCCTCGAATGAGTACATGGCGCTGCGCGTATAGCATCGCCGCTGTGGGAGACAGCAGAAGGCGCGGCCGAGGCCCCCCTCGTGTGCCTTTGTACCGGCGGCCTTCGTAGGTGGCTGCTGCTGCTGCTGCTGCTTCTCGCGAACGGAACTTCTGCCCCCAACATTCGCTGCGCACATTCTTAGGTTTTTTCGGTAAAGTCACGTAGGTAAAAAATTTAAATTAATAAAAGTAAAATAAAAATAAAATAAAATTCACGACGTTTCGGAGGCAACACAAGCTTCCGTGCTGTGACGGTTCCACCTGAAGACGGAAGCTTGTGTTGCCTCCGAAACGTCGTGATTTTTATTTTATTTTTATTTAACTTTTATTAATTAAATTTTTTTACCTACGTGACTTTACCGAAAAAAACCTAAGAATATGAATCATTGCAGTCACGAAAGCTTCAAATCTAGAATTTGCTGCGCAGGCTACAAGGGATACCTTTGTGTCCCAGCGCCCGGCTGAGAGAGCGAGTGAGCACAGGCACCCACGGTTCTTAACGCTCTCGACAAATCCCCCACGACGCTCAGAAGACGAAGCCACACGGAATGCAAAATTCCCTCTCCTTAATCCTCGCGGAGCGCGCGACCTCGCTAAACGAGACGGAACGGAACGAAGCTGGGTCGCCTTTAGCTCCACAAAGTTTCGTTAACCCTCGTACCCCCCCTCCTCCCCCAGGCCCGGACACGGGCACACGGGAGGCACAGAGGACGACAGGAGCGCGCGCGTGGAACTCGTCCGTCTCGTCGACCGGGAGGCACCGCTCCGAGTTTAGCGACAGACAACAGGTTGAGCTCTTCCCTGGGGCAGTCGACATCACTCACTGGGTCCGCCACGTCGCCTTGCAATCGCGTTTGAATTCACCCGCACGCTCCCACGCTCACTCTCTCGCTTGCCCGCTCGCTCGCTCGCCCACTCACTCGCTGGCTTCACCCGCTCACTCGCCCACTCACTCGCCCACTCACTCACCCGCTCACTCGCCCGCTCACTCGCTCGCTCACTCGCCCACTCACTCGCTGGCTTCACCCGCTCACTCGCCCGCTCACTCGCCCGCTCGCTCGCTCACTCACTCAACCCCACCCACGCACCGACTTTTCCAACTCACTCGCTCACTCAATCGCCCGCTCACTCACTTCAGCCACTCACTTGTCCACTCAGTCATCCGCTCACTTAAGACTCACTAGCTAACTAACTCGCTCGCCCACTTATTCGCCCAACCAGTCACCCACCCACCCACTCACATGCCAACGAATTTCCACTCGCTCGCTTTGTTTTAAATTACCGTTGTCTTTGTGTGCGATGCTCCAATTAATATTCCACAGCTTTGTGCTCCGATTTCTCTTGGCTCTGTTGCTCCACTCGAGTCGACTGCCTCCATCACGTTGGGTGATCCAGGAGGGTCGCGATGGCTAGGAGATGTTAACTACCTCGCCTGATATACAGGAGGTCGTGGGTTCCATCCCGACCCTGACGCCTACTGCTGTATATTTGGAGTTTGCGTGTCTCTCTCTATCTCATCATCACGGTGGCTAGGAGATGTTAACTACCTCGCCTGGTATACAGGAGGTCGTGGGTTCCATCCCGACCCTGACACCTGCTGCTGTATATTTGGAGTTTGCGTGTCTTTCTCTCTCTCATCATCATCACGGTGGCTAGGAGATGTTAACTACCTCGCCTGGTATACAGGAGGTCGTGGGTTCCATCCCGACCCTGACACCTGCTGCTGTATATTTGGAGTTTGCGTCTCTCTCTCTCTCATTATCATCATCACGGTGGCTAGGAGATGTTAACTACCTCGCCTGGTGCACAGGAGGTCGTGGGTTCCATCCCGAGCCTGACGCCTGCTGTATATTTGGAGTTTGCGTGTCTCTCTCTCTCATTATCATCATCACGGTGGCTAGGAGATGTTAACTACCTCGCCTGGTATACAGGAGGTCGTGGGTTCCATCCCGACCCTGACACCTGCTGCTGTATATTTGGAGTTTGCGTCTCTCTCTCTCTCATTATCATCATCACGGTGGCTAGGAGATGTTAACTACCTCGCCTGGTGCACAGGAGGTCGTGGGTTCCATCCCGAGCCTGACGCCTGCTGTATATTTGGAGTTTGCGTGTCTCTCTCTCTCTCATCATCATCACGGTGGCTAGGAGATGTTAACTACCTCGCCTGGTATACAGGAGGTCGTAGGTTCGATCCCGACCCTGACGCCTGCTGTTGTATATTTGGAGTTTGCGTGTCTCTCTCTCATCATCATCATCACCACGGTGGCTAGGAGATGTTAACTACCTCGCCTGGTATACAGGAGGTCGTGGGTTCGATCCCGACCCTGACGTCTGCTGCTGTATATTTGGAGTTTTCGTGTCTCTCTCTCCCCGTGTTCGCGTGGATTTTTCTCCGGGTCCTCCGGTTTCCCCCCCCCCCCCCTCCACGTGCAGAATCAACTTCGCGAGGTTCAGAGTTACTTGGATGCTGCTATCAATTTTCACGCGACAATGATGATAATGATGGTGGTGGTGGTGGTGGTAAGCCACCACTTCGGTTGAGCGATCATTTGCTAAAGCCAGGAGGTCGCGTCTGACAAAAAATGATCGCAACGTCGCAGCTCAAAGGGGCCCTTAAGCCGAGTAAAATAAAATCAAGTTTCGACTTAAAACTTTCGTGAGTGCAGGAATTCATATTCTATGGTTCTTTCGGTAAAGTGACGTAGATAGAAAAAATAACATTAAAATAATAAAAATAATAAAAATAAAGTGAGCAAAAATATCACGACCTTTCGATCACAAGACAAGCGGTCGACCGCTTGTTCAACTTTATTTCTATTATTTTATTGTAATTTTTTCTCGCTACGTGACTTTACCGAAAGGACCATGGGATATGAAATGAAGTGTAGTTTCAGTGGAGGTCACTCGGCCTTGCGAATGAGAATCCTCCTACATCGTGTCCTCTCGATCGCGTCGCACTCTGACCGCACAGAATCAACCCTCGAGCAAGTCCCATCGGTTCAGGCTTCAAGAACATTCTCCGTAATGATCAGAACGATAATACAACTATATTCTTGGTTCTTTCGGTAAAGTCACGTAGAAGGAAAATAATAAAATAAGAAAAATATAAAACAATAAAAATTATATATTTATATTATTTTGTTATTTCCCTTCTACGTGACTTTACCGAAAGAACCAAGAATATGAATCCCTGCAGTCACGAAAGCTTTAAATCGATAATAAAACTTTCATGTTATTAAAAAAAACTTTCATTTTACTTGTTGATGTGGAAGGGCCAAATCCCATGAAGGCGACTGGCTACGCACATCGCGAAAGAACAACAGACAAACAACAACAACAAACAACAAATAACATAAACAACAACTACACACAACAACCAACGGCAAACAACAAAAAACAATCATCAACAAAACAAACAGGAAACGAACTCAAACAAGATAACAACGAAAAACGACCCGTCAAGGAGCTATAAACCATCACGTCAACTCCGACCATCATCTTGGCAGCAGCAGCAGTGGCATCAGCTGCTGCTGCTGCTGCTGCTGGCTAAACCGTCGAACAACTGCGGCGGTGCTGGTCACTGCGTCGTTGCGCGACCGTCTGGAACGCTCTCTTCCTTACCCGGTGTTAGGAACCTACCGGGAGCTGTGGTGTACTTTTAAATCGTCGTCGTCGTCCAGATTGACGAACTCGTTTCTTTAGAAGTGCTCGCTGTTGTTGTTGTTGTGGTGTTTAGTTTGTTGTGCTCTCCCCCGCTTGCACCTCTGTTTAGCGCGGCTGGCGATGTACGGCGCGAAAGAAGTTCGACGGAAAAAATAGACGCGTACGAGAAATAGTTGTTGCTGGCAGTGGTGGTGGTGTTTTTACGGGGGATCTTTGTCTGTATCTGTGGTGGTGGTGGTGGCTATATGGGGGATCTTTGTCTTTATCTGTGGTGGTGGTGGTGATGGCTATATGGAGGATCTTTGTCTTTATCTGTGGTGTTGGTGGTGGTGGCTATATGGGGGATCTTTGTCTTTATCTGTGGTGTTGGTGGTGGTGGCTATATGGGGGATCTGTGTCTTTATCCGTGGTGGTGGTGGTGGTGTCTTTACGGGGGATCTTTGTCTTTATCTGTGGTGGTGGCTATATGGCGGATCTTTGTCTTTAGCTTTGGTGGTGGTGGCTATATGGGGGATCTTTGTCTTTAGCTTTGGTGGTGGTGGTAGTTTTCCAATCGACCAACCCAAGATGTTCGATCACTCGCCTTCACCCAGCGCCATCCGTCACATCGAACAAACCGTGACAGAACCCAAAAACTAAACAACAACAACAACAGCAACAACAGCAACAGCAGCAGGCACACGGCTAACATATCACGGCCGCTCTCCATCTTCCTCCAGACGCTGCGAAGGGTCCGAATCGCTCGCGAGGAGCCCGCGGCGAGACAGCCGAGACGGACACGTGGCCTTGAAGAGCCTCGGGGAGACGGATCTCGCGAGTCGCAAGACGGACGGCGGCATCCGCGGTGAGGCGAGCGGGGAGCTGAGAATGCGGGCGATGCCACCACCGTTACCATCGCCACAACCAGAACCACCACCACAGCCACCACCACCACCACCGCCACCACCGGCACTGGCACCACCACCGCCACAGCCACCGCCATCGCCACCGCCACCACCACCCCCACCCTCACCACCACCACCACCGCCACCATCGCCACCGCAACCACCACCACCACCATCGCCACCGCCGCTGCCACCGCCACCACCGCCACCACCACCGCCACCACCACCCTCACCACCACTGCAACCACCACCGCAACCACCACCACCCTCACCACCACCACCATCACCACCACCGCCGCCACCACCACCGCCACTACCACCCTCACCACCACGACCACCGCAACCACCACCACCACCTCCTGCTCTCCCTACAAGAGGGCAAAACAAAGACAGTGATTCGTGGGAGTTGTTTTATGTTTTGGGGGCCCCCAACACAGTGGTGGTGGTGGTTAAATGGTAGTGGTGGATAAATGGTGGTGGTGGATAAATGGTAGTGGTGGTGGTGGTGGTGGATAAATGGTGGTGATGGTGGTGGTTAAATGGTGGTCGTGGTTAAATGGTGGTGGTGGTGGATAAATGGTGGTTGGTGGTGGATAAATGGTGGTGGTGGTTAAATGGTGGTGGTGGTGGTGGTGGATAAATTATGGTGGTGGTTAAATACAAACATTATAGTATCGTCTATAGGAGGTTTTCTTATTATTGCGTTAGATTCCCTGCACCGGCTTACCAGCCTCACACAAAACGCCAGTTTGAAATCCTCTCGTTAACCCAACAAAGCGGTGAAGGCGTCTTGCCCCAGCCAACATCCTTGACATGCCTGCAACCCACGTGTCACCCACAAGGGCCCCCCCCCCCCCCCTAAAATCTGGCGATGTTGATCTTCCCGCATGCGCAGGTCGATGCTTCGGTCTGTGGGTGACGCTCTACCGCGAGGCATCCGCAGATCTCTATGAGTCTGCGAACACTTTTTGTTCTTAAAGACGCGTCTTTGGAGCATCTTTGTACACGCGCTTTCACTTGTTAAACTTTCAGTTCATTGAGTCAATTGATTCTTGAAATGAAGTTGTAATATAATTGTGTCCCTGCTGAGTGTCTGCTGCTGCTGTGTCCTGTACAGCGCTTTGAAATCCTTGATCAAAAGAGCGAAATTATGAATGGAATTTTATTATCATTAACATTCTCTTTGGTTTATTCGGTAAAGTCACGTAGGTAAAAAAAATGAAAAAACTAAATTAAATCACGACGTTTCGGGCGCAACACAAGCGTCCTTCTTCAGGTGGGGACAACGTAGCGAAAGCACGAACGCTTAAGCGTTAATTTATTTGTTTAAATTTTTAATTAATGTTATATTTTTTACCTACGTGACTTTACCGAAAAATCCCAAAAAGTATGGATCCTTGCAGTCACGAAAACTTCAAATCTAGAATCATTAACATTGTTATTAAATATAAATTTCACATAATCGAGGCGGTTTTTTTTTCCTGGGTGAGATCGCGTAAATATATAAATGTGTCGTTAAACCCGCCACCACCCGACACAGCCACTGAGCAAAGTTTGTCACGTGAAACAAAACGTGCAAGGTGCAATGATTGCCTAGGAGGCCCTTGTGGTGGAGAACCACTGCCGGCCAACATTAACATCAGCTGCCCTGCCCACGCTGCTGACACGCTTGGGCTACATTAACATCAGCTGCCCCACCCATGCTGCTGACACACTTGGGCTACATTAACAGCTGCCCTGCCCATGCTGCTGACACACTTGGGCTACATTAACATAAGCTGCCCCACCCATGCTGCTGACACACTTGGGCTACATTAACATCAGCTGCCCCTCCCATGCTGCTGACACACTTGGGCCACATTAACATCAGCTGCCCCTCCCACGCTGCTGACACACGTGGGCTACATTAACATCAGCTGCCCCGCTCATGCTGCTGACACACTTGGGCTACATTAACATCAGCTGCCCCGCTCATGCTGCTGACACACTTGGGCTACATTAACATCATCTGCCCCACCCACGCTGCTGACACACGTGGGCTACATTAACATCAGCTGCCCCGCTCATGCTGCTGACACACTTGGGCTACATTAACATCATCTGCCCCACCCACGCTGCTGACACACGTGGGCTACATTAACATCAGCTGCCCCGCTCATGCTGCTGACACACTTGGGCTACATTAACATCATCTGCCCCACCCACGCTGCTGACACACGTGGGCTACATTAACATCAGCTGCCCCGCTCATGCTGCTGACACACTTGGGCCACATTAACATCAGCTGCCCTGCCACGCTGCTGACACACGTGGGCTACATCAACATCAGCTGCCCCTCCCATGCTGCTGACACACTTGGGCTACATTAACATCAGCTGCCCCGCTCACGCTGCTGACACACGTGGGCTACATCAACATCAGCTGCCCCTCCCATGCTGCTGACACACTTGGGCTACATTAACATCAGCTGCCCCGCTCACGCTGCTGACACACTTGGGCTACATTAACATCAGCTGCCCCTCCCATGCTGCTGACACACTTGTGCTACATTACATCAGCTGCCCTCTGCCATGCTGCTGACAACACTTGGGCTACATTAACATCAGCTGCCCCTGCCATGCTGCTGACACACTTGGGCTACATTAACTCAGCTGCCCCTGCCCATGCTGCTGACACACGTGGGCTACATTAACATCAGCTGCCCCTGCCCATGCTGCTGACACACTTGGGCTACATTAACATCAGCTGCCCCTGCCCATGCTGCTGACACACTTGGGCTACATTAACATCAGCTGCCCCTGCCCATGCTGCTGACACACGTGGGGCTACATTAACATCAGCTGCCCCTGCCCATGCTGCTGACACACGTGGGCTACATTAACATCAGCTGCCCCTCCCACGCTGCTGACACACTTGGGCTACATTAACATCAGCTGCCCCTCCCATGCTGCTGACACACGTGGGCTACATTAACATCAGCTGCCCCTGCCCATGCTGCTGACACACTTGGGCTACATTAACATCAGCTGCCCCTGCCCATGCTGCTGACACACGTGGGCTACATTAACATCAGCTGCCCCGCCCATGCTGCTGACACACTTGGGCTACATTAACATCAGCTGCCCCTGCCCATGCTGCTGACACACATGGGCAACATTAACATCAGCTGCCCTGCCCATGCTGCTGACACACTTGGGCTACATTAACATCAGCTGCCCTGCCCATGCCGCTGACACACGTGGGCTACATTAACATCAGCTGCCCCGCTCATGCTGTTGACACACGTGGGCGATTTAACACGTGTGAGGCTTTCGCAACCAATATTATTCATAATCAACGTTTTTGGGATTTAGATCGCGTTGTTTATAAATGTGTCGTAACCCTCCACCACCCGACACGGCCAATCAGCAAAAAAGTGTCACGTTGACAAAAGACAAATAGTTCACTGCTTTAGCCCACCGGTGTGTTGAAGCGTGAAACCACAACGTTTACATTTTTTGAGTAGTACGACGTTTCGCTGGTAATTGCATCCAGCATCATCGGGCAATTTGCCAGAATGGCGTGACACTTTTTTACTGATTGGCCGTGTCGGGTGGTGGAGGGATACGACACATTTAAAAATAACGCGATCTAAACCCAAAAACGTTGATTATGAACACTTGGGCGACATTAACATCAGCTGCCCCACCCATGCTGCTGACACACGTGGGCCACATTAACATCAGCTGCCCCACCCATGCTGCTGACACACGTGGGCCACATTAACATCAGCTGCCCCGCCCATGATTCTGACACACGTGGGCCACATTAACATCAGCTGCCCCGCCCATGCTGCTGACACACGTGGGCCACATTAACATCAGCTGCCCCTCCCATGCTGCTGACACACGTGGGCCACATTAACATCAGCTGCCCCGCTCATGATGCTGACACACTTGGGCTACATCAACATCAGCTGCCCCTCCCATGCTGCTGACACACGTGGGCGACATTAACATCAGCTGCCCCACCCATGATTCTGACACACGTGGGCTACGCCCATCTCTAAACCTTTATAAACAGTTTGCCTTTAGAGGCTAACCCCCCACCCCTTTTTTCCTGATGATGACTACTTGCGTTGCGATCGAAACGTCGTGGTTTTTGTTTTCATTTTATTTATATTATTCTTTAATTTGTATTCACTTTCTTTTTTATTATTATTAAATCCTTTATATTAAGTTCACTTGCTTGCTTGCGCGCTTACGACCGTGCAAATATTTCGGTCGTTTTTTAACCCACTTCCCGTGATCCAATCGAGCTGACATTTTGCACACAGACTCGTTGTGCGTGACAATTTATTTTCGTGGAAAATTTTTTTCAAAATTTTCCACTTTTTAGGAAAAAAAATGCATATTTAATTTAAAATACCAATGTGATAAAAATGAAACTCTTACTCAAGAAAAACAGAAATGAATAATAAAATAAAACCGACGCCACGCATATAAAGGATTTATAGTGAAAAACTTTGCTTTTACGAGTTAATTTTTTTTTCTATCTACGTGACTTTACCGAAAGAACCAACGAATATGAATTCCTGCAGTCACGAAAGTTTTAAGTCGAAATTGATCGGAGCGTGTTTTTGTTTGCATGTTCACCACGAGTACGTGTGGTTAACACAGGCGACATGACTCCTTGCAAAAGGATTCTGTTTTGTGTTTGAACCTATTGTTATTGTTACAATAAAACAGAATGTGTTAAAAATTCATTTTTTCAAGGCATCGTCAAGTCTGCATTCATAGATACCGCATCAGATGTCACGAGCCATCACTCCATCTTAACGATGACCAAAACCACCACCGCCGCCGCCTCCGCCGTGATGCTCTCTGTGCGGCTCTCCTCCGGCAGAGGAGGCGTCGCGGCCGCGGAAAAGAAAACCGACGGTCGGAGAAGGATGCAGCGGCGCTCCTCCTACTGCTGCCTGCGGTGGTCGGGGTGGTGGTCGTGGTGGTGCGTCACGCTCACCGCTCTGCTGTCCCACTCGCCCCACGTGCCTCCCGTCAGCTGCGGTGAGGCAACGGAGCGGGCAGCCACACTGCGTCCGGACAGACAATTGAGCGGATGATAAATACTCTTTAGGTTTTCTTCGGGAAAATCACGTGGGTAAAAATAAAAAAACATAAAAATAAAAAAAATACAAATAAATTATAAAAATAAATAACTAAATGGTAGAAATAATGGATTTCTTATTTTATTTATATTATAATTTCTAACAGTAACTAATGTACTTTTATCATTTATTTATGTATTTCCCTACGTGACTTTACCGAAAAAACCCTAAGAGTATGAATCCTTGCAATCAGGAAAGCTTCAAATCTAGAATGGATGATACATCTTAAGCGATATCTTTAATCTGCTGCTATGAATCTGTACGAAATTACAACTACCTCGCCGGCTATGCAGGAGGTTCGTGGGTTCGATCGGGACCATTGGCTGACACCTGCTGTACAGGATGCTTTCTGACCAACACCACCTGGCCGGTGAATTAAGACATGTACATCGGGCCCTCAGGATGAACGGATACTCTGATCGCACTATCCGCCAAGCTGTTTCTCCCACCATACAGAAACAGCCACATGAAACTCCGACCAAAACTATCACGTTGCCATACATAGCAGGCGTGACTAAAAAGATCTCCAAAATTCTAAACAAACATAAGATCCAAGTCCGATTCAGTACAGTGCATAAAATCCGTGATTTGATTCCATCTGTGAAGGATGTCGTTCCTGACTTACAGTATCCTGGAGTCTACAAATTGAGTTGCATTTGTGGTGATTGCTACATTGGAGAAACGAAACGTCATGTTTCTGATCGTGTCCGCGAGCACAAGTCAGATCTGAAACACGGCAGAACTGATTCTTCGGCCGTTGCCGATCATTGCTACAACTCGGTGGGCTCTCATGAAATTGTATTTTCCGAGACCAAGGTTCTCTGCAAACCTCCTGGCTCCCATCAAATGTTTGTACACGAAGCCATACAAATATACAAACACAGACATAATTTCAACCGTGATGACGGTTACAAACTGAGTAATCATTGGAAAGATGTGATTAACCATGCAAAAAAGATTTAACTACACTTGTTTGCCAATCTTATTTGACAGACAACCATCACAGTTTTACCATGCCTAGTGGTGGTCTCCCTGTTACAGGTTGAGTCACAAACCGCACCTCTCCATAACAAAGGCTCAGCCTTTGTTATGCAGTCTATTCTTAGTCTTAAGCCTCACCTTACCATATTAATAAAAGTATGCGGCCCTTGCTCTACCACCTCCTCCAACCATTATATAAACGGAGTGGTGGCTTCTGCAATCTCTCATTTACTTGATACAGCTGTCGTGGCTGTGACGGTACCACCTGAAGACGGAAGCTTGTGTTGCCTCCGAAACGTCGTGATTTTTATTTTATTTTACTTTTTGGTGTTTTTTTACCTACGTGACTTTACCGAAAAAAACCTAAGAATATGAATCATTGCAGTCACGAAAGCTTCAAATCTAGAATCTTCAAAATAATGTTAACACTTACATGGGTCTATCGTTTTTAATTTAAAAGAACGGATAATACACGATAACAAATGTATGTTAATAGCTTCAAGAAGTCAAAGCGTCTCCACTTTCATCTTCTTGGTTCTTTCGGTAAAGTCACGTAGAAGGGAAATAATAAAATAATAAAAATAAAACATAATAAAATACGGAAAAACAGCGCTGTCTTTCCGACAGACCTGTTCTTCACCCGAGGACGGCTGCTTGCGTTGTGGCCGAAACGTCGTGAGAATTGTATTTTATTATGTTTTATTTTTATTATTTTATTATTTCCCTTCTACGTGACTTTACCGAAAGAACTAAGAAGATGAATCCCTGCAGTCACGAAAGCTTTAAATTGAAATTTAGTATCCACTTTGTTCGCAATCGTTGTCAACGCGTGCCTCGAATCTTCTCCAGGTGGTCTCCAGAGCCCGGAGGGCGACGCTTTTCTGGTGGTGTCGTTGGAAATTCTCTGAAGTGTTCAAAAGTTTTCCCTTCCAGATTTAGAATCAACAGCGTGCGTTTAAAAGTGTTTAGCTGCAATAACATTTCCACGCGATAATGATGAGCCCACTTCGCCGAGCTGTCATTTGTAACAACAAGGTCGCTTCTGAAAATGTGATATATATCGTTCAGCGGGCCTTACCTGGTAAAATAAATAATGAATAAAAAATACACAAGCGAAGCAAGGGTTAGTTACGCGAGATAGATGTGCAATCGATGTCTCCATACATCTGCGTCTCTCCAAGTAAAATATAAAAGTGTCGTTTTTTTTACTGACTTACGCAACGATTCCGGCCTTACTGCCTTCTGGCAAGCGCATAACTTCAGCTGTGAACATTCAGTACAAGCAAACTCATATCCGTCCAAACAACAACAACCGCCATTCGCCACTAAGTGGCGGTGACGTCACCACGACGCTTGTGCCAGGCCATGTGCACCTTGAGGCCACGTGAAGTGTCGAACGCCCGCTGGTAGGAGGTCACGGGGCAGACCCAGGTGCCACGGGTCGACTGACCGAGATGACCGAGATGACTGGCTGATGCACCACCTGTGCCCCCTACTGTACCAAACATAAACCGTCCAAACACGCACACACATACACCCACTCACCCACCCACTCACCCATGCCATGACCTGGGCATACGGGCTACGTGGGCCAGCCAATGCAGCCTCGCCTGTCGGAGAATATCATTATTAATGGGACCGTGTCACACACACACACAAACACTCTCTCACCCACTCATCATTCACTCACCCATTCACTCACCCACCCACTAAAGCCACTCACCCATGGCATGGCTGGGCATGCGGGCTACGTGACCCAGCCAACGCAGCCTCGCCTGCTGGTAGAGATCATTAATCGGACCGTGTCACACACACAGACACCCGATAAACCACCCACTCATCATTCACTCACCCACCCACTAAAGCCACTCACCCATGGCATGGCTGGGCATGCGGGCTACGTGACCCAGCCAACGCAGCCTCGCCTGCCGGTAGAGATCATTAATCGGGCTGTGTAACACGCACACACCCACTCACTCACCCACCCACTTACTCACCCATGTTGTGGATGGACATGCAGACTACACGACCCAGCCAACGCAGCCTCGCCTGCCGGAGAGGCTCATTAATGGGACCATGTGATACACACACACACACTCACCCACCCACCCACTCACTCACCCACCCACTCACTCACCCAACCCACTCACCCATTCACTCACTCACCCGCTCACCCGTGCCATGGGCTGGGCATGCAGGCTACGTGACCCAGCCAATGCAGCCTCGCCTGCCGGAGAGGCTCATTAATGATACACACACATACTCACCCACCCACCTATTCACTCATCCACTCACTCACCCAACCCACTCACCCATTCACTCACTCACCCGCTCACCCGTGCCATGAGCTGGGCATGCAGGCTACGTGACCCAGCCAACGCAGCCTCGCCTGCCGGAGAGGCTCATTAATGATACACACACATACTCACCCACCCACCTATTCACTCACCCACACACTCACCCAACCCACTCACCCATTCACTCACTCACCCGCTCACCCGTCTCATGGGCTGGGCATTTAGGCTACGTGACCCAGCCAATGCAGCCTCGCCTGCCGGAGAGGCTCATTAATGATACAAAGATACAAAGATCCCCCGTATAGCCTGAACAGACTGTAGGGGCAAGTGCTGTTAGCGAGCACCTATGAAGGCCGGAACGGTACACGAGGGGGTGGGTGGCCAGCACCACGCCCGACCGCCTTTGTCTCCCTAGTGGCGATGTTTACACACCGCACCAGGTACTCATTTAAGGCTGAGTCGACCTAGGGGAGGCCCAGGACCTGTTCAGATAATCGTCACTGGTGTTAGCCGTGAGCGGGAATCGAACCCGGGTCGCCAGGTTCATAGCGCAGCGCGCTAACCGCTACACCACCACATACTCACCCACCCACCTATTCACTCACCCACCCACTCACCCAACCCACTCACCCATTCACTCACTCACCCGCTCACCCGTGCCATGGGCTGGGCATGCAGGCTACGTAACCCAGCCAATGCAGCCTCGGCTGCCGGAGGAGCTGATTGGGTCGACTGTGACCAGAACTTTCAAGGATCTGAGAGCTCCTCGCACGATCGAGTCTGCGTCAAACCCAGGACCAGGGCTTAATTTGTGTGCACCAAATACGGAAAAAGGATCTAAACAAAACTATAAATTAAACTATTTTTTGTATTTTACCAGGTAAGGCCCACTGAGCTATACAGCTCTTTTTTAGAAGCGACCTGGTTATCACATATGATAACTCAACCAAGGGGCTTACCATCGTGTTGAAATTTATTGCAGCCACTTACAGTCCTCGAAACGCGCGATGTTAATTCTAAATGTGGAGGGGACCCAGAGAAAAATCAACGCGACCACGGGGAGAGAGAGAGACGCAAACTCCAAATATACAGCAGATATCGGAATTGAATCCACGACCTCCTGTATACCAGGCGAGGTAGTTAACATCTCCTAGCAACCGTGATGATGATGAGAGAGAGAGAGACGCAAACTCCAAATATACAGCAGCAGGCGTCAGGGTCGGGATCGAACCCACGACCTCCCGCATACCAGGCGAGGTAGTTAACATCTCCTAGCCACCGTGATTATGATGAGAGAGAGGCACGCAAACTCCAAATATTCAGCAGATGTCGGGATTGAATTCACGACCTCCTGTACACCAGGCGAGGTAGTTAACATCTCCTAGCCACCGTGATGATGATGAGAGAGAGGCACGCAAACTCCAAATATTCAGCAGATATCAGGATTGAATCCACGACCTCTTGTATACCAGGCGAGGTAGTTAACATCTCATCTTACCGTGTGTATCTCCCCCCCCACCCACCACATCGACATCAAATGAGATCAAAGCGGCTGCAGTGTTGATGGACGACTGCCGGGAGAGAAGCGTCGCGTTCGCGAGTCGAGGGAGAGAGAGAGAAGGAGTTGGGGGGGGGGCTGCAGTTTGTGAGGCTTAAAGTCCTGGGGGGCTCGAGAAGGGGGGGAGGGTTGGTCGAGGCATTTGGATAATTTACAATGAGGGCCCAGGGGGCGGGGGGCGGGGGGGAGGTGAATCGATCCGCGCAAGACGGAGTGTGGCAACTCAAGGATGAATTCAATCACTCTCGCTGGACAAACAACGACGACAAAATAGCGCACACCGACAGCACGAAGAGGTGAAATCGAGCGTCAGCAACAACAGCAACAACAACAACAGGAAAACACCACCACCGAAACAACAGCGGCAGCAGTCGCTAAGTGGCGGTGACGTCACCGGGGCGCCTGTGCCAGGCTAGGTGCACTTTGAGGCCGTCTCGGCGGCGAGGCGATGTCCGACGGTTTTCGCCGCACGCCTCGTCGGTGCAGCGGGTGGCCTCGGTGCCGGACTTGACATGTCACGAGTTGAAAGTGTCCCGGGGATTTGGGATGTTTTAAAGGGGGCAATTTTTGGAGCGTTTGACTTCACCTCGGTTTGCCGAGGAAGCCCCCCCCCCCACTCCCTTCCCCCCCCCCCCCACTTCCTTCCCCCCCCCACCCTTCTCCCCCCACCCTTCTGCCCCCACCCACAACCCCTCCCCCCCACTCCCCCCCCACCTCTCCCCCACACCCCTCTTCCTCCCAATACCCTTCCCCCCCACTTCTCTTCCCCCCAATCCCTTTCCCCCCTCACCCTCACCCCTGCCCCCCACCCCTCTTCCCCCCCACCCCTCCCTCCCCCCCACTCCCCCCCCACCCCTCCCTCCCCCACTCCCCCACTCCCCCCACCCCCGCGTGAGCTCCAAACGGCCCAGAAACCGCCTGAAGCCGAAGACGAGAAGCCACGGGCCCACTAGGGCCACGCGATTCGGCGCGACGATGTCCGACGTTTCGCTGCACGTGCACGCAGGAGCTTCTTCGGGCAAAAAAAAACGAATTCGCTTATCGCGAGATGAAGAAGCTGCGAGCTAACCCCCCCCCCCCTCCAACCTCCGGCCCCCACGGCCCAGGCACCGCTTTAAACCAAAGACGCGGTGGTGGCCACGTGAATCATCCACCTTGGTAGCAAGCGTCGCGTTTACGGAGTATCTAGCTACGATATGTGGACACGACGACGTGAAGCCGCTTCGTTGAGCTATCACTTGGGGCGCCACGGCGGCTAGATAGATGTTAACACCCTCGCCTGATGTACAGGAGGTCGTGGGTTCGATCCCGACCCTGACACCTGCTTCTGTATATTTTGAGTTTGCGCGTCTCTCTCTCTCTCTCATCATCATCACGGTGGCTAGGAGATGTTAACTACCTCGCCTGGTGTACAGGAGGTCGGGGTTTGATCCCGACCCTGACGCATGCTGCTGTATATTTGGAGTTTGCGTGTCTCTTTCTCTCTCATCATCATCACGGTGGCTAGGAGATGTTAACTACCTCGCCTGGTATATAGGAGGTCGTGGGTTTGATCCCGACCCTGACGCCTGCCTGCTGTATATTTTGAGTTTGCGTGTCTCTCTCTCTCATCATCATCACGGTGGCTAGGAGATGTTAACTACCTCGCCTGGTGTACAGGAGGTCGTGGGTTCGATCACGACCCTGACACCTGCTGCTGTATATTTTGAGTTTGCGTGTCTCTCTCTCTCATCATCATCACGGTGGCTAGGAGATGTTAACTACCTCGCCTGGTATGCAGGAGGTCGTGGGTACGATCCCGACCCTGACGCCTGCTACTGTGTATTTGGAGTTTGCATGTCTCTCTCTCTCTCATCATCATCACGGCGGCTAGGAGATGTTAACTACCTCGCCTGGTATACAGGAGGTCGTGGGTTCGATCCCAACCCTGACACCTGCTGCTGTATATTTTGAGTTTGCGTGTCTCTCTCTCTCATCATCATCACGGTGGCTAGGAGATGTTAACTACCTCGCCTGGTATGCAGGAGGTCGTGGGTACGATCCCGACCCTGACGCCTGCTACTGTGTATTTGGAGTTTGCATGTCTCTCTCTCTCTCATCATCATCACGGCGGCTAGGAGATGTTAACTACCTCGCCTGGTATACAGGAGGTCGTGGGTTCGATCCCAACCCTGACACCTGCTGCTGTATATTTTGAGTTTGCGTGTCTCTCTCTCTCATCATCATCACGGTGGCTAGGAGATGTTAACTACCTCGCCTGGTATGCAGGAGGTCGTGGGTACGATCCCGACCCTGACGCCTGCTACTGTGTATTTGGAGTTTGCATGTCTCTCTCTCTCTCATCATCATCACGGCGGCTAGGAGATGTTAACTACCTCGCCTGGTATACAGGAGGTCGTGGGTTCGATCCCGACCCTGACGCCTGCTGCTGTATATTTGGAGTTTTGCGGCGTCCCTCTCCGTGCGGCCGCGTGGGTTTTCTTTCTCCTCCAACATCTGTAAGCGACGCGTCTGTACGGAGTATCTGGCCGCTGTAAATTTCCACGCGACGACGATGACGACGACCGTGAGCCGCTTGGCCGAGCTATCATTTTGCGGGGGCCCCAGGTCGCTTCTGAAAAAGACCCCCAAAAAAGAGCTCCACACAGCAGCAGCACAGGCAGGTGGTGGTGGTGGTGGGCAGAGGTCGCAATCAGGTACCCGATACCCGTACCCTACCCGATACCCGGCTACCCGTACCCGGCCAGGTACGGTACCCGTTTGCGACCCTGGTGCGGCCGGGTACGGGTACGGGTAGGCCGTGAGTCACTGGTGAGTAACTGTTTGTCACTCATTTCCCAACGTCTTGTCTCTTCTCACAATTCAAGTTCCTAGAATCAACCCACCCGCGCCTGCAACATGGCTTCATCCCAGAGGTCGCAATCAGGTACCCGATACCCGTACCCTACCCGTACCCGGCCGGGTACGGGTAGGGTACGGGTACGGCCGGGTACGGGTACGGATAGACCGTGAGTCACTGGTGAGTAACCGTTTGTCACTCATTTCCCAACGTCTTGTCTCTTCTCACAATTCAAGTTCCTAGAATCAACCCACCCGCACCAGCAACATGGCTTCATCCCAGAGGTCGCAATCAGGTACCCGTACCCTACCCGTACCCGGCCGGGTATGAGTAGGGTACGGGTACGGCCGGGTACGAGTACCCGTTTGCGACCCTGGTGCGGCCGGGTACGGGTAAGGAATCAAACCCCGTTTGCGACCTCTGGTGGTGGGGCCTTAACGAAATTAAACAAATCTTCTGTTTCTTGTCCACCTGCGTTTGCCTGTCCCCCCCCTCCCGCACCCTGCAGCCAGCGTGCACGGCCGCACGGACCCCACGGTGTCGCCCGGACGGCCCCTGCTGGCGCCGTCCCACCCCGAGGGGGGTCTCCGGGGGTCCATGGCCCCGGCGGCGCAGAGACCCCCGAGGGAGCTGCTGCCCCCTCCGAGGCTTCCCTGGGTCTCGGGGACCGCCGCCAGTGCCCAGACGACGCAGGTAACGGGGGGGGGGGGGGGGAGTTTCGGACTGGCTGTCGCCTGGTGATGCTGGTTGTTAGTTGAACGCGCAGTAGGCTTTCGCGACCGATATCATACGTAATATAGCTTTTTTTTTGGGAGGGGTTAGATCGCGTAAATATAAATGTGTCTTCTTGGTTCTTTCGGTAAAGTCACGTAGAAGGGAAGTAATAAAATAATAAAAATAAAACATAATAAAATAATTCTCACGACGTTTCGGCCACAACGCAAGCAGACGGCTGCTTGCGTTATTTTCCTTCTACGTGACTTTACCGAAAAAACGAAGAAGATGAATCCCTGCAGTCACGAAAGCTTTAAATCGAAATATAAATGTGTTTCGGTAAACCCGCCACCACCCGACACAGCCAATTAGTAAGGTTTGTCACGTTAGCAGAACAAGCCATTTCGTTACTGCTGTACTCGTAACGAATCGGCACGTTCTGTTTACGTGTTCTGGATTTCGGATGATTAACCCATCCTCCGGACGCACGTACGTGACGCGACACGGCTGTCAGGGATTGGTTTGATGACGCAGCACCAACAATACGATGTTTCAACTTTTTCGAGGTCCATCGGTTTTGCGAGTGTCAAGACTTTACTTCTATTTAATAAACCCAGAGATAATGAAAGTGTTCAGGGATTTTCCAGAACTCTTTCCAAAAGCGGGAACACGTCCCCAGCAAGTAACTACGGAGGGCATCTTTCGCAACATTTTGAAAGAAATACTTTCGTAAACACCGTAATAATCCAGAAAGCGTCGCGTTCCATGAATGCAGGACACAAATGTGTAAAACATAAAGTCACGAAATATACATTTCGACCCTGGGAATAATAATGGTTGTAAAACATTGCTGCGTATCTTCATCGTCATCATCGTCGTCATCATCGTCGTCATCATCGTCATCATCGTCGTCATCGTCAACATCGTCGTCATCGTCGTCATCATCATCGTCATCATCTTTGTCATCACGCGATCCATGGGGCAGCGAGCCGGTTGGTGTCACACTGCACATTTCGTCATTTGTCAGGAGACCTCCCAAGTACTCCATACAAATTCCTTCACATTCACAATCTTGCTGCTTACCATTAGCGCAGTTGATCATCGATTATCCGGCTTCCGACGTTATCCGGTGGTCCCGGTGCCGGGCCGATCCGGCAAAACCAAAGGCTGTAACCCAGTCCGGCGATCGGCACCATGTGGCGTGAAAAATACAAGTAGCTACGCTCGATTTCAGTGTCAAATATTATATATACCGTACATTATCTATATATATAAAATCGTTCATGTCTGTCTGTCTGTGTGTGTGTGTGTGGACTTTGGCCCATACGCACTTTCATTGGACGGCGGTTGCCCCTGGCAACGGCTAGCCACGCCTTCGCCGCTTTCATTGGACCTGGCAACGGCTAGCCACGCCTTCGCCAAGGGCTGCAGTTTCATTGGACGGCGGTTGCCCCTGCCAACGGCTAGCCACGCCTTCGCCACTTTCATAAGCTCCGTATTTAATTAAATAATAGCCATTACACAGTATTGTTGGAGCGCTAGGGGGGGGGGGGGGGGGGGGGAAGGAACGCCACCCGTACCCTGCCTTTTCCAAGCCGACAATTTTAGGCGAGGCCGCAGGCTTTGCACGCTACTAGGCCTCGACACCCACCACGCCACTCTGAGGTAAATTCATCAAAGTTTTTCCTACTCTTCACTACACCCCCACCACAATGTGTGCTATTCATATTACTTTTAAACCCAACGCGCCAACAATCGATTACTTTAATGTTCACTGTACAAATACTCATTAAGCTGGGTGAGCGTACTGCCAGTCTATCATGTACACTGTAGCCTGCTTATTAAGCTCGGTGAGCGTACTGCCACTCTATCATGTACACTCTAGCCTGCTTATGAAGCTGAGTGCGTGTACTGGCAGTCTATAATGTGGACTCTTGCCTGGTTATTATAATCGATTCTTTATATGTTCTTTGTACAAACAGTCATTAAGCTGCTTGAGCGACCCCAGTTCGATTCCAACTCACGCCCACCACCGCTGACGATTATTTGAAACGGACCTGGCCATCCCCTAGGTCCACTCAGCCTCAAAAGCGTAACTGCTGTCGTGTGTGAACATCGTCACTGGGGAGACAAAGGCGGCGGGGCATCGTGGATCCAAGTCCCGGGCGAAGCCGGGTCATGTGTATGTGTGTTTGTGTTTATGTGTATGTCTGTGTGTCTCTATGTATGTGTGTATGTATGTGTATGTATGTGTTTGTGTGTATGTGTGTGTGTATGTATGTGGGTTTTTTTATGTCTTTATGTGTATGTCTGCGTGTCTCTATGTATGTGTGTATGTACGTGTGTGCATGTGTTTGTGTGTATGTATGTGTGTGTCTATGTATGTGTGTGTATGTGTTTCTGTGTATGTATGTGTGTGTATGTATGTGTGTTACGTGTCTGTCTGTGTGTCTGCATGTATGTGTGTGTGTATTGTGTATGTGTTTGTGTGCATGTATGTGTGTGTTTGTGTGTATGTGTATGTCTGTGTGTTTGTATGTGTGTGTATGTGTGTGTATGTGTTTGTGTGTATGTGTGTGTATGTATGTGTGTGTATGTGTTTGTATGTGTTTGTGTGTTTACGCTCGCATTACACAAATGTGTTGCTGGTCTAAGGCGTTCCTCGCACAGCATTGCCGCTTTATTATTTCAGTCGTTTACTGCCTTACGCACCCTGAAAGTCGTGTGTGTCTGCAGCAAGCGCGTGTATGTGTACCTATGGACGCGCGCGCGTGTGTTGTGTAGGGGGAACGGTAGTGTAGTGCTTAGCGTGCTGTCTGTGTCTGTGTGTGTGTCTGTGTGTGTGCGTGTGTGGTGTGTGGGGAGCGGTAGTGTAGTGCTTAGCGTGCTGTCTGTGTGTCTGTGTGTGTGTGTGTCTGTCTGTGTCTGTCTGTGTGTGTCTGCGTGTGTCTGTGTGTGTGTCTGTGTGTGTGTCTGTGCGTGTGTGGTGTGTGAGGAGTGGTGGGTGTAGTGCTTAACGCTACGCTGCGCTACCAACCCGGCGAACCGAGTTCGATTCCCGCTCACGGCCACCACCGGTGACGATTATTTGAACCTCCCCTAGGTCCACTCAGCCTCAAACGAGTAACTGGTGTTGCGTATTAACATCGGCACTGGGGAGACAAAGGCGGCCGGGCGTGGTGGATCCAAGTCCCGGGCGAAGCCGGGTCATGTGTATGTGTGTATGTGTTTATGTGTATGTCTGTATGCATGTGTGTATGTATGTGTGTGCATGTGTTTGTGTGTATGTATGTGTGTGTGTATGTATGTGGGTTTTTTTGTATGTCTTTATGTGTATGTCTGCGTGTCTGTATGTATGTGTGTATGTACGTGTGTGCATGTGCTTGGGTGTATGTATGTGTGTGTCTATGTATGTGTGTGTATGTGTTTCTGTGTATGTATGTGTGTGTATGTATGTGTGTTATGTGTCTGTCTGTGTGTCTGCATGTATGTGTGTGTGTATATTGTGTATGTGTTTGTATGAGTTTGTGTCTTTACGCTCGCATTACACAAATGTGTTGCAGGTCTAAGGCGTCCCTTGCGCAGCATTGCCGCTTTATTATTTCAGTCGTTTACTGCCGTACGCACCCTGAAAGTCGTGTGTGTCTGCAGCAAGCGCGTGTATGTGTACCTATGGACGCGCGCGCGTGTGTTGTGTAGGGGAAACGGTAGTGTAGTGCTTAGCGTGCTGCCTGTGTCTGTGTGTGTGTCTGTGTGTCTGTGTCTGTGTGTGTGTCTGTGTGTGTGTCTGTGTGTGTGCGTGTGTGTGTGGTGTGTGGGGAGCGGTAGTGTAGTGGTTAGCGTGCTGTCTGTGTGTGTGTCTCTGTCTGTGTGTGTCTGCGTGTGTCTGTGTGTGTGTCTGTGTGTGTGTCTGTGCGTGTGTGGTGTGTGAGGAGCGGTGGGTGTAGTGCTTAACGCTACGCTGCGCTACCAACCCGGCGAACCCAGTTCCATTCCCGCTCACGGCCACCACCGGTGACGATTATTTGAACCTCCCCTAGGTCGACTCTGCCTCAAACGAGTAACTGCTGTAGCGTATTAACATCGCCACTGGGGAGACAAAGGCGGCCGGCCGTGGTGGATACAAGTCCCGGGCGAAGCCGGGTAGTACAGCTAGTACACTACAAACATACAACTTAAATGATGAAATACTGCACGTGTGTACCTTTTTCATGACTAATAGCGAATAAGACACCTGTCAATGCCTTATCAGTGCCCTACCTTAATACAGACCAACTCAGACCGTAGTGGTCACCCCGTGCCCCTTATACATCTCAACGTTCATCCTACAAGGTCCCATCACAAGGGAGAAACACAAACAAATTGACAAAAATATGTCACTAAACAAAACTTATTTGATTGGCCTTTCACCCGTATTGAAACGGCTGCACGCAGTATGGACCCGAAAACTCAATTTCCCCGTAAAAGAATACGGGGTCAAACCGTATGGGGTTGACACGGCATGGAATAAAAACATAAAAAATTAACCCGTAAAAACAAAGTTTTTCACTATAAATCCTTTATATGCGTGGCGGCTAGAGTCCTCTCGTCCTCTGGCTTGTGATGGCTGCCACCTATGGGTCAGATGATTGCCTGCCACCATTAAGCAATTGGTAATTAAATATAATTTATTTTTTTCTAAAAAGTGTAACATTTAGGAAAAAAATTTTCACGAAAATTAATTGTCACGCACAACGAGTCTGTGTGAAAAATGTCAGCTCGATTGGATCACGGGAAGTGGGTTAAAAAACGACCGAAAGATTTGCACGGTCGTAAGCGCGCAAGCAAGCACGCAAGCAAGCGAACTTAATATAAAGGATTTTAAAAAGAAATCGCGACGAAGGTGGGATTCGAACCCACGCGTGCAGAGCACAATGGATTAGCAGTCCATCGCCTTAACCACTCGGCCACCTCGTCTCACGCACTCACACACGCAAGCA